AAAATAGAAAAAAATTAATTTAAATTAAATTAGGGAAAATAAGGTAAAATAAAACTAATAAAACACATATAAATTCATATAAAAATATGAAACAAAATCAAACAAAAAATGAAGTGGAATAAAATATAAAAAATAAAATTAAAAAATTAGAGACAGCAAAATGGAATGAAATAAAATTAAACCAAAGAATTTCATTTTATATTAATTAAACCAAAATTAAATTAAATAAATCATTGGAGTACAAACTAATTTGGTCCGTTCGAAAAATATTGCTCCAACTGATGTCATGTGACCGATCTTGGCAGCGATTATCTATTTCATTGGAAAGGTTTCACATCTTTAAACAATAATTGGCGCGAATCAGCGTCAACCGATAAGTCCTGCTTCAGAAGTAATGATTTTAGCGTCGACAAAGTGAGTCCGCACAACAACAAAAATGATGCAAAACGTTATCGACAACAAGTAATGCGTTTAAACGGTGCATTGCTTGAAAAACGGACATAAACCATCAAACGGCATGACGATGTGATTTTGCAACATAACAACGTTCGATCCCACGTAGCTGCAACAATCAACAGTTAACTGGAAGCGCTGGAATGGGAGGTCTTACTCCGAAGAAGAAATCCAAGAATGTATCGACGACATAAAGTCATATTTTAAACTTGTTATCAATAAAGAAACACTTTTTGAATACAAAAAATGAACCGAATCAACTCAAAAAAATTATTATTATAAATTATAAGTCATAAACTATAAAACACCTCAACAATAATATAAACACTGCTCAGAAAATATGCATTATTTTTTAATGTTACTATTGTATTTTCAGCTACAGCTCAGATAATTCCTTACTTCTTGAGTGTTATAAAATCAAACAGAAAATTATAATTAAAATTATTTCTAATTTATTAAACCGATACAATTTTTAATTATCGATTTTTGTATTTTTTTTTTACACACTTTCGCTCAAAAATTATGTATTTGTAGTTAAGAAATTCACTTGCTCCATATGCTTTAATAATTTTTCTTCTGCTTGCTTTTTCTAACACATTTATATCTATTTGAAATCATTGAAAAAAACTTAATTAAACTATTTTTACAATATTGTTTATAAATGTACCAGAAAATATACTATTCTCCTAAATGCTGAGGTATTTATTGACACAAAATTCGAGGGTAGAAAAAATTATTTTGCTTATTTTACCACAAGTGCAGATAGTTTGCCAAACTAAAAAAGTTTGCGGAAACTTTGCCTTTCTTTGAGTTTCCTCTAGCCTCAGCAACATAAAATGCTTGGCCGGGCAGAACGTATGCTTCGTCATCCATTATACAACAACTAAATTTGTTCAGTCTCTACTGAGCGCGTATCTTTGCTTCGCAGTTCTTCTCAACGTTTCGGTCCGCTTCTTTCTAAGCTTTATATGTCTTCGGTCCCTTTTCTGCTTTCACTCTCCGCACAAATTACTCGGTATAATGCGCTGACTGAGCAGTTTTCCGTCCCGAAAAGTTAGTAATTCTCTTTAACAAGGCCACCACCTTCTGAGCCATTTTTTGGTAACCAACAGCCTTTTTCTGTCCTTCTGTCCGCACCTTTTTTAGGATCGATGCTAAAATTTTCTTTAATCTTTTTTACTACTCGGAAAACAATGTTTTGGCTGACATTAGCAATTCGATTAAAGCTATATTGCCGATTACTTAAAATAAAGTTTAACGATTAGCTCACGCGCTTTCTTTTCACTGCTGCAGTCATGAAAATAATGAATGAGAAAGCCAACCTGTTCAAAAAATGTTGAATTGAATTTCTTAGAAATAAGCAATAATTAATGTTATTTCTTTTTTGTACCATGATCGATGCAAAGGTGTGCAATTTTTTGACAGGGCAGGGCAGTAGTTCGCCCCATCCTGCAACATTTATGTGAGTTGAATAATGTAGAGGAAGTTAAATAAAATATAAGGTTGTCAAATATCTCCCGCTTCTATCTTCCGCTTTTTTGCTCTTCATTCCATGCTTTATAAAAAGTGTTATAGGGATCGGATTTAGTTAAAATATGCGCCGTTTTGTTTGATGATTTGTTTCCATCTAGATGGCAACTTCATAATACCTTCCTCCTAGAAGTCCCCCTCCTTATTTGCGAAGAATTCGGACAGCCACTTTTCACAAGCCTATTTTGAGTTCAACTTCACACCACCAAGGGCATTCGCCATGGGCAGGAATAGGTGGTAATCACTTGACGCTACGTCCGGGCTATATGGTGGATGCGATAAAACCTCCCATCCGAGCTCCCGTAGCTTCTGACGAGTCATCAACAACACTACACCCTTCCTGTTGGCCAATTCTGGATGCTTCTGGTCGATCGCCTGCTTCAAGCGGTCCAGTTGTTCGTAGTAGATGGTAGAATTAAGCGTGTGGCCATATGGGAGCAGCTCATAGTGGATGATTCCCTTCCAATCCCACCAAACACACAGCAAAACCTTCCTGGCCATCAATCCCGGCTTGGCCACTGTTTGGAATGATTCACCGGCCTTCGACCACAACCGTTTTCGCTTGATATTGTCGTATGTGATCCATTTTTCGTCGCCAGTCACCATCCGCTTCAAGAATGGGTCGAGTTCGTTCCGTTTCAGCAGCATATCGCAGGCGTTGATTCGGTCCAGAAGGTTTTTTTTGCGTCAAATTATGCGGCACCCAAACATCAAACTTTTTTTTGTATCCAGCCTTCTGCAGATGGTTTAAAATGGTTTGGTTACTAACTCCCATCTCCTGGGCGATGTCACGAGATGCCATATGCCGGTCTAACTCGATGTATTCCATGATTTGATCGGTATTTGTCGTCACAGGTCTTTCGCCAGCTGGCTTATCCATAGTGTCGTTTTCACCGGCTCTGAATCGTCGAAACAATTCCTCCGCGGTTCGAAGTGATAGAGTACCATCCCCCAAAACGCCATTAATCTCACGGAACGTTTCTCTAGCGGATTTGCCTTTAACGAATGAAAACTTTAAAATAGCGCGAATTTCGGCGTTAGTGAACTCCATGTTTACACGTCTATAACTGTTGAATGCAATATCCAAATCATGCATAGCGTTGTTTTGTAGGTTATGTCAAGACCTTTCAAATTATGTCTAGTGTTGCCAGATACGAGCTGTAGCGCTTTGTACATAGCCGCGAAATTCAAAAGACAGAAAACAACCAATATTTGAAATGTTAATGTGAATTTATACATACATAAATTAAGAATTGAATAGTTAAACCTGAAAATTACCCATTCGGGCGCTGGACTTTACATTGTTGTTTACGTTTAATGGAGTGATTTTGATACGAAATATGTAATATCAGCTCGATTTAAAGAAAAAGAAATTACTTCGGTAGAGCAAAATATTAACGAAAAGGAACAAAGATATTTTCAATAAATGTGGACTTTGTTTAGATTGGGTATGAGAACACAGACGATGGCACTACTGATCTACAGTTTTTCTCAGCAGCCAAAAATGGTTCTAAAACTCTTAATACGGGTGAGAGCAGATTTAGGAACGGGGTAGAGCAGATTTAGAAACGGATGGAAAGATTTATGCAGGGAGGAAGAAATAATCATATCAAAGTCTAAACAACTGCATAAGTGTTCATTCAACTGTATGGCTGGTACAATACCTATTTGGGCATAAGGTTTTGCTACATAGCAGGCAAATAATTGAAAAAATTTGAGTTCCAATAGTAAGGCTGACCGAATAAACTCAGGAGCCGTCTTACATCTCAAGAGCGTATGCACATGAATATGGGGAATAATGAGCATAAGGATTAAAGATAAAAAAAAGAAACGGAACAATTGGCATCAGAACAACGGAAATGTGATCACCTTAAATTTGCTTGTAATATAATTTTAGAATAAAATGTCACGAACATTTCAAAATAGGATGAAATAATTATTTTTTACTTAAAAAAAAATTTATTTCAAATATCTAGGGAAAACTTAAATGTTTTAGAAGCATCCGTTATATGTGGAATGATAATATTTGTAGACGGATTAAGATCATTTTAGCATCATATACTTATATTCATCAAAGAAATCTGTGCACTAAATTTTAACACCGTGTGTACATTTTACTTATGGACGTTTTTTGTATGAAACATTCCCATTGTACGGCAGTTATGTATATAAAATTCAATTCGAACGGAACTTATTGTTCTATACATTTTTGCGTTGCTTTCCCCGATATGCTTTTCAATTTCTCTAAGCGGCTGCATTGACCGAGTGGTTGGCAGTGCGTACTACCATGCGGAGAGTCATTGGCTCGATAACTGTTTAAACCAGCATACAAGTCTATATATGTATATGTGCATATCTTTTATTTGCGGTCGCTCTTCGGCAGGGAGTATCAACCGCTTCGAGTGCATTTCTGACATGATATATGTAAATATCAATCAAACGTTCGTAGGCAGCTTGGAATAAACGCCTGTTCCCTCCGTTTGTTGGAAAAAACATTAAAACGCTCACAAATCCATGAAGGAGCTTGGCTCGCAACCATTTCAGGAGTTATAAAGCGGAAGTCTTAATCATTGGCGTACAATCAGAGTATTTTCAGTAAAAGCCGTTCACAATATGATCAATCGTATAATATCAATTACACCTACCGGTCTAGAAAAGCCAATTTCACGTTTATGATCCCACACCATAGACATATTGATTTATAGATTAATAAAAAGAAATTCAAATTAACATTCCATATACGTGTAAGTATAAAATTCCTACGAGATGTGTTTTTTATTTAATTAGGTGAATTTACATACATACTCACATACTTATTAAAATCTTCTGTATAAATAACATTCACAATTTATTTATAAAAAAACTTGAAAGAAAACGAAACCACTGATCTATTTTTGTACACACTTGTAGTTTTATTTCAGTTTTGTAAAGAGTTCGCTTCAGTTCGGTAGTATAGCTTTCTTAAGTAACTGTAATTTAAATAAAATTGTATCTAAGAAAACACTTTTACACTAAATATGGACTTTAATGAATTTCGAAATTTTGGAAAAGGCGCCATAGAACTATTAATACGTTATTTACAGAACATTCGAGAGCGGTAAAGTCGTATGAATTTATATTTACTAGTTCAATGGAAATTGAAAATCAACAGTTTATACTTAATATAAGTATATTTTTTTTAATATTACCATAACATAACCTAAAAAATTATTATTCTGTGACTTTTATTATACTTAAAATATTTATTAGTTTCTTACTTACACTTCTTCTCATACTTAGAGATGTACTCTCATCAGCAGCACCATTTTCCCTAATCCACACATTACCAAATGAAATGCCAGAGCGAGCTGAGAACTGGCAGGATATATTGAATGACATCGAAACATTTTTACTGCCGGCTTTAACACATTGGCAATCACCGAATTTTCATGGTTTCTATCCATCTAGTTCGTCTATGGGATCTATTGTGGGCGAGTTACTCATAGCTGGTATTGGCGTATTGGGTTTTAATTGGGTGAGTACGTATTTTTCTAGCATCTGAGTTTAATGATTATGATTGTAATGGGATTTTATCCTGTTCGTGACTCATAAATCGGTAGTAAAGACCATTCGCTTTTGGTTGTGCGCTGACTCCGTAGCCGCACCAAATCTATATAAATAATTTGTATAAGCTAAGACCAAGAGTTTTGGGTGTTGGGTGAAAATGCTACCTAAATTTCAAATGCTTAACTATGAAGCTCGGCTAAGGGACTGAAGAATTGCTACGAAGCTTGCTTTAGAAATAATAATTTATTATAATAAATCATTTATTATTTGTAAATCTTCGTCCGCATGGCATTTCAAAATGGTTATTTTAAGAGTTCTAATTGGGGTATTGCGTCATTGATTTCACATCAAAAATTAATTTATCAATTTTTTATCCAAAAATCCGGTCCACTTCTCGTAAAGGTAATCTAGACAAAAAACTATGTACATTCGAAATATCAGTCAAATTTAACCAAAAGTAATAATAGATGGGTCCACTTCCTAGGCAATGTTGGCTATTCGAACCAAACCCCTAAGTTCCAGGCCCACTACTCGTAGAGAAAAGCTTTTATATATTATATATTGTATAAGTCTAAGCGAAGCTACATCTATGTTTTAAAAATCAAACAATCGGGCCCAGGTCAATTTGAGAAAAGTGCTTCCTATGTTTCTTGGATTAATCGGAGTTCAAAATAAATTCGATCGGAAAATCTTTCTTAACGGATGTCTATGTCAGACGCAGAACACACACTCCAAGTTTCCGGTCTCTACAATCAGTGTTTAAACTGTGGGATGATCGTTAATCCATAATACAAAATCTTCTATATATGTACAATATATAGACTAAAATTTGTCCGCTGGAATTTTCAGTTGCTTATAATAAGATTTTTATTTTATATTTATATAATATTTACTTATATTTTTTATAACCTATAACTTGTTATATTAAAACGTATGAGAAAGAAGGAAACCTCTTCCAAATAGTAGTCTAGGAATTTTCTTTGTTCCAGATATAAAAGAAATCGTACCATGAACACTATTTTTTGAATAAATCGGTACAATCGGTCGCTTCCTGGAAAGAAAAGCTTTATATGTTTTAATCTAGGTAAAGAGCTGTATACCTATGTTCCAGATTTTACTTGGTAAAAAGTCATCTACATATGTTGCAAATGTTAAAAAAAATCGATTCATCAAATCAAAAAGGGTTGCCGATGTTAATATAGACAAAAAGCTGCAAAAATTTCATGTAATATCCAGAAGAAAAAGTGCTTCCCCAGCTAATTTAGCCAAAGTGCTACCTATATAAGAAATTTTAAGACAATCGAAAGATTTAAAAATAAATCCGATTTTTTCGAATAGAACGGTCCACATTCCGGAATCACAGGCAAAGTCAATTTGGGCTACATGAAGTTAGGGAAGGGTTACAGAGGACCGTAGTATGACCACATTATGTTATGAGCGCATCTCTTAGTAGAAAATAACAACAAAAAGTGCTATTTATATGAATATTTTTATAATCGGTAATTTACAACCGCTGAATGTAATTTCCGCTGTGCTACTCCTCCAATGTGTGGGCTGCGTCTTGATGTTTTACCAACAAATGGATTGATTTGCAATTTACTCTAAGCCACAACCGTGCGGTATTTACAACAAGAAAGGAAAAATGTTTTCATGCCATTACGAACGAAGCTGATAGTTGTTTAGCACACGCATATAAGACGTTTTACCGGATCTTCTTTTTCCACCTCCGGTCAACTTCTTTAGTAGTTGTGGGTATCCCTAGTCACTCCCAACACTTAGTTTAATATTATTTATTGTTATTTGCTTGTTGAGCAAGTAAGTGATTGTTTCCAGCGGTATTCAGTTTTTTGTTTGATATATTTATCACTGAAATATTTACAACTAGTCGGAGATTACCTGGATCTAATTGTAAAGTGATATTTAATCTAGCTACAACAGACAACAGATCAAGATACACTTCACTATCTTTGATATGATTCTGAATGATTTTAGTTGCTTAGGTCATTACTGATGGTTTAAATCCCCATTTCAACCACCATCCTTATCTTCCAAATTAGGTTTCTGTGAGAGCTTTCTGGTCAGTGTGGCTCAATATTTCACTTACGATAGCGTAGTACCATTCACTAGTAGTAGGTAAATCTGGTACTCTGTTTATTCTGCTGAACATCACAATTTTCCGATTCCGTCTGAATTCGCCACGATTACTGGTTGTATTTCCACTGGTTTCTAACAATATTCATGTATGATCGACTCAAGAATATTTTCTTGTATGGACGACTAGGTAGAACGCGTTGCCAATTTCAGCAGCAATATGTCATCATCGTACCTGATAACGTCATTGTCCCATGATCTTAGTGACATCTTTCACCTTGGATCTCACCCAGATTTTAAGGGAAGTCGGTAGATATGCGAATGCAGGAAGTGGATTTTAACGCTTATGTTGCACACTAGCTTTTTGTCTGGAAATTATTGATAACCAAATCGAGTAATATTCAAGTATGAAATTGATATCGGTCACTGATTGAGATTTTTGCACTTCTGTGTATTCACTTGATCTACATACTATTTCCTTCGTGTTCGCAGAGCATTGGATCATGAAGAATATGTACTTGTAAAAGTGCTGGGTTGAGCCTCTAGTGATTTTAATTGAGATCATTGGGCAGACGATATTTTGGGATAGGACCACTTATTTCGCGTTCGAGGGTTAAGACATTTTATTTTCAAAACGCAAAAGCAGCAATCGCCATGATGGCGAAGTTTTTTGTCTGTTATGAACATTACTGCATCCCTTTTTCTACTGGACCGTACATTTCTGTCATATTTGTCGAATAATTGAAAAAGAGATATCCGAGTATGATCGAGTTTGCAAACCAAAAAATATCATTTGTTTTTATATATTAAAAGTGTTCTTTTTATTACAGTAATATGAATTAAAAGTCAAAGCAAAACTTGAAAAATAATTTTTATCGACTAAGCAAAGTTATAAATGGTTATCCATATCGTGGTTTCAAAAGTACAAGACTGTATTTTGACATCTGTCAAACCAAAAGTGAAAATGTATCGCTAAAACCTACTGGAAAAATTTTGATTCAAAGGTTTTAAGAGAAGATTGTTGGGCATTTAATCGTCCAACTACTCAAGCAATTGGTAAAATTTTATGAAGCTGTATCGGTTACATATATTGTAGGTCTGTGCCTTTTTCTTGTTCCATCTAAAATATTGCTACTGTAAATGGAAGTGTAGTCAAAGATATAAAGTCGCTATGCTTGCGGCTCTGAGGAGCACATTCTGGCGAGTGGGCAATACAATTGAACTTGCATCTATTGGATGAGTGCATAAGTTCGTGCCCGATTCCGCTGGATGCCGTTCGAATGTGGCGCTCGTGAAAGAAATATATACATATTATATATCGTTGGAAAGGTGACAGTCCGAACTGTAAATCAAGCATAAAATAACTTCATTTTGATTTGAGTTGCTTAGTGAAAAGACGCATGGAAGATGGACAACGAAAAAAGGCGTGATCTATTTTGAGCTCTTGCCAGCTGGAGAAACGATCACTACCAACAAGTATTGTCAGCAATTGGTCGAGTTGAAGAAAACAGTTGATGAAAAACGTCCGATTGTGACCTATCGCAAAAGAGTTCTTTTCCATCATGACAACGCCAGGCCACATGTTGCAAAACCGACCCTGGCCAAACTGAAGGAGATGAATTGGGAAATCATGCCGCATCCCCCATATTCACCCGACATTGCACCTTCTGATTATCATTTGTTTCGATCACTGCAGAACAATTTGAATGGAAAAAATTTAAAAACGTGGAAGGCGTCAAAAACCACCTTGGCACCTTTTTCAACGAGAAACCGCGCGATTTCTATGAATCAGGCATCCGTAAATTGGTTGAACGTTGGGAGTGGATTGCCGAACATGATGGCGAATACATAATTGATTAATAAAAGCGCTTTCTTCACAAAATTTCAATTTTAGTCTGCACTTGAAATCGGGCACGAACTTATGCACTCATCCAATATATCCATGTATAGATTGTGTGCTTCCACAAACAGCATGCAGTGGATGGCAATTTTCCGAACAACATTTTCTTAAGTTACTAGTCCACAAACACGACTTGGACAATATAGGCCACAAACACGAGCAAATATGGTTTTATTGCGAGAGAAATTTCCATGCCAAAATAATCTTTCGTCTTGGCGATGTCAATCCGTCACCGAGGTCGTTGATAGTTGATCTTGAGATCTAGAAATCCAACTTTCGACAAGTTATGGCTGAGCTACCCTGTACAAATAATTGAATAATCTTTAAATTGTGATAATCTTTCCTAACTTTTAACGCTAACGATCCCTGGTCATACATTTGCAAACACTTACTATTAAAATAAATATTTTCTTCAACAGGGTTGTAGTCCAGCTTGCACTGAACTCGAAATGATAGTGTTGGATTGGCTCGTTAAATTCCTTAAATTACCACAACACTTCCAGCATTCCGTTGAAGGTCCTGGTGGTGGTGTTATTCTGGGCTCTGCTAGCGAAGCTGTTTTAATTGCCGTAATATCGGCGCGAGAGCATATGGTGCGTTGTACAAAAACGAAGCATCCCGAACGAAACGAGAGGGATATAAGAGCCAAGTTGATTGCATATGCAAGTGATCAGAGCAATAGCTGCATAGAAAAGGCGGGTAAATTGGCCGCTTTACCATTCAATTTGCTACCAACCAAAAACGATTTTCGGCTGCATGCAGAGCAGTTGGAAGCTGCCATTAAAAATGATTTATCCAAAGGCCTGATACCAGCGATGTGTGTAGCAACATTGGGCACTACAAGTACCTGTGCTTATGATGATATACAAACGTTATCCTTAATCTGTCAACGTTATAAAATTTGGATGCACGTGGATGCGGCGTATGCAGGTGCCGCTTTGGCGCTGGATGAATATCATCATTTGCACTCAGGCTTGAATATCATTGATTCTCTGAATATAAATTTACACAAACTGCTTATGGTTAATTATGGTTGTGCCGTTATGTGGGTAAAAGAATCACAGAAACTCGTAGAAACTTTTTTAGTGCAACGTCTCTACCTGCAGAATAACAATAATATGAATAATAATGAATTACCCGACTTTCGAAATTGGCAAATTTCTTTGGGAAGACGTTTCAGTGCACTTAAAGTTTGGATAACTTTTCGTTCTGTAGGTGCGGAAGGTCTACGCAGACACCTACGACAACACATTAAACTATCGAAACAATTCGAAAGACATGTCTTAGCTGACAAGCGTTTTGAATTGGTGACCAAACGCACACTCGGTATTGTGTGTTTTAGAGTTAGAGGTGATAACGAATTGACAACTCAATTACTGCAACGTATACATGATAAGAAACAAATATATTTAACACTATCCATGCATGGAGAAATGATGCTTTTACGATTCGTTATATGTGGAATGGATACAAAAGAGGAAGATGTAGATTTCGCTTGGGCTGTAATTCAAACTGAACTAATGGAAATGCTAAAGCCTCAAAGAGAATGGAGAGCTATAAAGTTTCATTGTCAAAACCGAAAACGAAATAAATGATACTCGCTTGATACCTGTAACCGATCGATTTGTATGGTACAAATGTATTTAACTCTTGCGAAAAATATAAATAAAAAATTTAATAAAAACTGTAAAAAAGAAAACGAATAGAGAGCAATTTTTATTTAGTACGGCAAAGAAACATTTATTATAATACAATTGATTGTACTTAAAAATGATTTAATTAATAGCAGTCATAATATATTTGTTTATCCTTTCGTGTATTTCGAAATCTCTCAAATATTTTGGAAGACTAAAACTAGGACGCGACTGTAACGCAATGAATTAATGCATGTGGCAGTATTCCCAATCAGCTGATTTATTGAGAAAATAGTTTACATATGGCAGCTCAAGTAAATAATAACAAAATATAAGAATATATTTTGGGTTCAAGTTTACTTTGAAAATTATTTACTATAAAAATAACAAAAAAAATTGTGTAGTTTACAAAAATCTTTAATCGAAATCCAAATTTTGTTAAACAACTAAGTGCAATGAGATAGTAAGACGAGAATGACAATTAACTGTTTAAATATAATTAGAAAACTAAATTATATTTTCAGTATTCGATGTGTTGGGAGAAAAATTCATGGTACCAATCTGGTTAGTAACACTCTTAAAACTGTTTTCCCCACAAATAGCGTCTATAAACCTAGAAATGAAGTTGCTATCGTCGTCATTGGCGCTGGACTAGCCGGACTTTCAGCAGCAAACCATCTGATTAAACATGGTTTTAAGCAAACAATAGTTCTAGAGGCAACCGATCGATTTGGTGGACGAATAATATCGAAGCAATTTGGTGATGCCTATTGTGAATTAGGTGCAAAATTAGTGCCGATAAATGCGAAGAGTGACACTGTCTATAATATTATACAGAATATGAGGGGTCTACCAAAAAAGGTGATTCCAACCAAAGATAAAATGTATGTGAATGCGCTTGGTGAAAAAGTAGATAAAACTTTGCCGGAACTGATAGATAGACTCTACAAAAGACTTTGTTCACATATCCAGTTTGATGAAAAATATAAAACTGGATCTATGGATGACCTTAATAATGTACATACATATTTTCATGCAGAAAAATCCAAACTGCTGAACTCTATTTTCAATGGAGAAGATAGAAAAACTGCGAATGAAATATTTAATTCACTCATCAAGGAGTTCGGTAGTCTTTTAGGATGCTCATTGGAATATGTTAATATTGAGCATATAACGAAGTTAAAAGGTAATGTAACAAGCGGCAACTACATTTACATACCAACAGGCCTGGATAATATATTGACAGTATTGACAAAAGACCTTTGCAATACACAATTACGAATAGGTAAACCAGTTGGGGAAATCCATTGGTTTATACCATCAGAAAAAGGCGGAAAGTGTGTCGCCTGCTTAGACGGCGAAGTATTTCGAGCGGATCATATAATTTGTACAGTACCTTTAGGTGTACTAAAAATTTTTTCTGAAAATATGTTTAAGCCGTCCTTACCGCCAAGCAAATTATGTTCTATAAAGAAGCTTGGTTTTGGTACACCAGTTAAAATTTATTTTGAATATGAAGCTAACATAGACGTCTGGTTGAAGAGCAGTTTGCGTCCATTGTGGAATGCTGAAAGTGTTAACTGCGACATGTCGTGGACAAAACAAATAGTCGAGATTTCAAAGATGCCCAAAAGTAATCGCGTTGTTGAAATTGTTATAGGAGGTGCTTTTTACGACAAAATAGAAAAACTACCAGATCTTGAAGTGCTAACCGAAATAACAAACTTATTACGTATGCGGCTAAAAAACTCAAATATACCTTATCCTACTTCAATGTTACGTTCTAATTGGAGTTCACTCGCTTGTTATCTGGGTGGTAGACCCTACTTCTCCACCGGCAGCACTATTAATGATGTTTTGACATTGGCCGAGCCTTTGGGTCCAATGGGAAGCCTACTTTTCGCTGGTGATGCAACCATAGTGGATGGTTTTGGTACTGTAGATGGTGCACATAAGAGTGGCATTAGAGAAGCACAACGAATAATAGACCACTACAAGAGACGAGCTGCGTAAACCAAATGTTAGTAGAAATGAGGACAAGTGTGATATTTTTAACTAAGTTTTTATTCGTGAACATGAGTTTGAGAATTATAAATATCTTACTTATTAGCATATAGCACACAACAACAATGCAAAATTTGTTAAAAGCTTTAAGTAAACAGTTTTTCGCTATAATATCAACAACAACAATAATTACATGTATATTAAAGAATTATGTACTAATGGTATATATATCGAATATTAACAGGCCTTCGTTGTCAATGAACCTATTGCATTACATCTACAGGTTCGTTCCCTAAATGTGTCATTTAATATTTTGAGTTTTAGCCTTCAATTTTAATACTGTTTATCCATAGCAGATGTCATTAGCTGCTTCACTCACTTCTTTCCAAGAATATTCCATATCTTCAGGTCTAGTAAATCTAGAACAAACAGCCATACGCAAAAAGTATACATCATTTATCTTACTTGGCACCATGTGTATCTTTCCGCGTCCATTAATATGTTTTAATAATTTCTCACTCTTTTCATTAGCACCCTTTAAACGGAAACAAACTAGACCCATATTCACATCACCAACAATCTCGAATCGTTCATCAGCTCTGCAAAGATTGGCAAACTGCGTCGCGTAACCACAGTGGCGTCTGATATGTGCTTGCAAATTTTGCACACCATACAAACGTAGTACAAACCACAACTTTAATGCACGGAAACGACGACCCAATGGTATTTGCCAGTGTCGGTAATCAGGTGCAGAGCCCTGCATGTCATGTTTCAAGTACAATGGATCAACATTGAAAGCATTCACCACCCAACTGGGATCCTTTAGCCACATAGCACTACAATCGAAATTCACTAACATCCATTTATGTGGATTAAAATTAAATGAATCCGCTGTTTCGATGCCCTTTAATAGAGGACGATATTCAGGGCAAATGAAAGCGGCACCAGCATAGGCAGCATCCACATGAATCCAAACGCCATACTTGTTGCCAACAGGGCCGCACTCGTCTAAATGATCGAAAGCGCATGTGTTAGTCGTACCCAACGTCACAACGGCCTAATAATACATATAAAAATTGTAATGTTTGTATTAGACATCCATTTTTACGTAAAAAAAAGTATTTATTTATAATAATAATTTCCCCAAAATGTAAAAACAAAAAAAAGATCAATTTGAGAAAAATAATTTAGCAAAGAGGCTTTACTTGTACAAAATCTAAAATTAAATTATAGAAACTAAAATATAAAGTTCAAGCAAGTAGTTTCATTTTTTACTCACGTAAAAAGGTATAAGACCATCTTCCAAGTCCTTTTTTATTGCTGCTTCCAAGGCCTCACCTCGCAATCTATTGTTTTCATCAGCACCAACACCACGTAATTTTACACCACCCAATAGACCAGCGCGCTCTACTGAGGAATGCGCTTGCGACGAGCTATATCCAACCAACTTGGAGATAATTGTATTCTCACTCCATTCAGGGTGTAGTACTTTAATCTCTTCAATTTTCTTAGCCTTTGCACCTAAAAGTGCCACAAGTGTAGCTTCACTTGCAGTACCCTGTATTACGCCGCCACCTTTTCCACCCGAGCAGGCTAGGAACTCTTTTGGCAAACCAATCATTTTGCCCAACCAATCCAACATTACTACTTCCAATTCAGTGCACGCAGGGCTAGCAATCTTTTAAAAACGATATTTGTTAATACAAATACAATATTATAAGATAAAATGAGATTTGAATCTTTAAACCTACCCAAGAGAATCCTATACAAGCAATAGCACCACTTAACATATCAGCGACTATGGCTGGATATGAATTCGCAGTTGGAAAATATGCATGAAATTTAGGACTGTGCCAATGTGTAACACCGGGCATTATAACACGTTCGATATCCTTCATAACATCCTCCCAACTTTCTGGTGTTTCTGGTGCAGAATCTGGAATAAGTGGTCGCAAATAGCCGGGTTTAACGTCCGAAAGAACACGTCTGCAATAAAATAGGTAAAACCAAATGCTTAAATATAATTATGATACATAGATAAACAACTATATATGTTTACGGTAAAGTTAAATTTCCTATATAGCAAACAGTTGTTACTTGTTTTTATGGTTCTCAAAAATTGTATGGAACTAGTAAAAATATGTATGTACGAGTATTACATACGTGTAAACGTAGCATGTTATGTTTATATATAAGCTAAATATGTAATACCAAAATTTTAATGGTGTCAAGGATAAGATCAACTTCTCAATCATGGGCACAGTCGAGATTTTATGGAGAAGTTACGGAGAATAAAATGTTATTAAGAGGCATCTGCTTAAATCGAAAAATGGAAATAGTTGTCCAATAGCTCTAACCTAAGGCTCTATTTCCGCTCGATTTAATTTATAATCTAAAGTTCCATAATTTGATGTATTGTTTTAACAGAAAATACATCCCCTATAGTGTCAGTGAAGCTTTCCCACCAGAAATCAGTGTCATTCAATCAGGAGAAATTTTAAATTAATTTTTTATTTAAGCGATCTTTCTAAAAAGATCATTTACAACCGGTTGAATCAAATACCAATTATCCAAATAAAGTCACTAGGGATGATGTGGGACTGAGTTTATCAGATTTTTTAAAAAATCATTGATACTTCCTTTCAGTACCGAAATAACTTTCTGCGAGTTAAACGGATTCAAGAAGGGACTTGGATTGACTCGATATAAAGCAAAGTATAATTTAAGCAAGTACGAAAATTGTCAGTAAGAATTAGCCAGTAATGAAATGTCAAAATTATGCCTTCTCGGTGCAAATTTCGCCGCCTTTTTTGCTCGCTGAACTTACATAGTTCTATTCAGTAATATTTGTTACTGCCCATCATCTCATTGAACTATTTTAAGTAATTTAAAGGTACCATATATAAAAATGGACTACTGTCATTAAAACGACAGAGTCTTATTTGATTTTACCATGCACTATATGAAACAACAGATTAACTCAAGAATTATAACGAAACAGTAAAAGTAACAGTAACAGAAACTGTAAGTTGAAATTTACAAGGTGGTTAGCACATTTTACTTAATAAATGATTCATTAACAGTTACAAAAATATTTATTAAGCCTGATGCTAATTGGAAAATTACTAATTATACAAATAATTGCAATAGATTATTAATTTTCAAATAAACTACGTTTCAAATATTAATTATAGCAAGTAGGAAATTAAAGGTTAAAAAAATTAAACCGCCGAAAAACTAAAACTCAAAAAATATTTTATTGAACCTTAATAAAACAACTAATGTAAGGGTGCCTTAGTAATTTCATGTCATAAATACACTCGGAGCAGTTGACATTCCCTGCGCAAAGAAGACTGCAATTAAAAAATTAAATTATTTTTTTATTTAAATTAGTTTTCTATAACTTTTAGATGTTGATCGAACCAAAACTTGAACCCTGGCCTTCCGGGGATCCATATCGAACTATGTTGTATCAAAGTATGTGGGATTATACATTCAAATCAATGGCTCATCTCCTTTTTCCTACCCATACGTATAAAATTTTTTTCGAACAATCGATGGGACCAATTTCCAGCTATACCCTATCTAGTTAAAATAAAATTATTAAAATCGAAGCACTCTGTAGAAAGTTATGCGGAGTCATACATAAAAAATACAATAAACGAGATGAATTGAGAACCTTCTTTTATGACAGCGTAAAGGCTGAACTATTCCAATGTCACCACACATAATGAAAATCTGACCTTTCCATCATCTGCGGTTTTCGCCGTTTCAAACGCCCAAAAATCTTCAACAAAACCTTTCTCTCGAAAATGCCGACTCATGGGAAAATGTTATCGACCAATCCTCTGAGTCTAGTTGTAAGAAACATTCTGTGTTGGATTTCAAGGCAGACAGTGTTGCTGGTGTTGATCTTGGTTGTTAGATAGACGAAATTATTTACATTACTTCAAAGTTATGACTGCCAATAGTGAATGCAAAAACGAGTGGTTAAAGTAGCTCGAGATTTTCATTATTATACCAAGTCACAGAGAAAAATGCAGTATGCAATGTACCAAGTCATCATGCCAGAATCAAAGCTCAAAGACTAAGCCAACAGCCGTCCAAATCAGAAGAGTTCTAATAAAAATAAATCTACTGTTTACTTAGCTGTCCCTTGGTAATGCATAACATTTATAGTTCTGTGTGCTGGTAATGTACAATTTCGCCTGTTAACAGGCCTATTCACACTGTTAACGGTAAAGTAAATTTTGTTACTTTTCTTTAACACCCGAAATAGAATTTGGTATTCTGGCGAACTGGTTACAATGTTTGAAAAAAAATTGGCAGCACTGCTTTTTTCGTCCATGTCATATTACATTTGCCAGTTGATAAAGTAAAAAGAAAAATATTCACATCGAAATGGAAGACGGTGCACAAAAAAATTAAAAAGTTTTAGTAATTTGTTTATTAAATCATAAATATTTGAACGTAATTATGGAAAATATGCCTGGACAACAAAAAAAAAAGCTGAATGAAAACGTTCTTACAAATGAAAGGGCTATTTTTCAGTCTCGAATATTTCTCAAAATTCGGTGTTTTGCACTTTTTTCATAATCTACAATGAATTCAAGGCCTAATATATGCCTAACCAATTTGGCTTTTAATTTTTTCTCAACCTTACAACATAAAATCAAACAGCAGATATTTTTGTTACCTCCTATTTCGCTGGTAACAAAATTCACAGGGTAACAGTGTGCTCAAAATACGAAATGGTAAAAAAATTTACTGAATGGTATATTTTAATACCTATGTAAATTTTGTTACCTCGACAGAATAGACCTGTAAATGACAATTTGGGTAATATACCTCTTAATTTTGCTTTGTTATAAATTATTTTTGAGTTACATTCCTTTCATACTAAGAATATTTTAATTTTTTGAGTTAGCATAATTTAGATTTTCAAACTACTACACTCTACTCTCTACTCAATTCCAAAAAAAAACTCGTCTAGAAGCAAATGCGCTCTAAAAAATCAATAGAGATTTCTACCGCTTGTGCCAATTTTCAAAAAAAAATTTCCATTTTATAATAAAACCATTAATATTAAACTATGTTGTACAATATGTTCATGAAATACCCGAGAAAAATATATGTATGTACAAATATGTATATGTATGTATTTGTAATTATGTAATCTAGGGGTGATTTGGTATTATAGATGTGGTAAGAAACTTGACACTATCGAGGCGACTGAGGTCTAAATACTATAGAAGTGACTCATTACTCAGCACTATAGAAGGGACTAGCAAAAGGTAATGCATTAGTGGGTTAGTTGTCGAGTAGTAGCTTGACCGGTGGCTATCTACCATCACTAGTAACTAACGAGTTCGTTAGATAATCGTTATTCACTTTCCCTGCAGGGACACACATATATGTATGTACGTAGGTATACGTAAGACCTACTAGAGTTTTCTCAAATAATAAATTAATTATGTAATTAGTTATTTAATTATAGTAAACAAGGCTATTTGCTTACGATTGGCCAAATTGTTGCCAACACTCATACGAACAAAAGTGCATATTGTTATTGTATATTCTCAGAGTGAAGTTCTATAAATCAGTAGTATGTATATATTTGTATGTACACGTACATATGTATCATGTAGTATGTATTTGTATTTATGTATTTAAATGTGTTTATGGAGTTCCATTGAAGAACAAGCACACGTACGGTACATTGTGTTGTTTTACTACTTTTCTGTTATTATTGTAGTTATTCGTTCACCTGGCTAATACATTTTTCCGGTTTTTTTTTTTGTAACTGAAGGTTTAAATGCTAATTATGAATTGCAAAACGAAATGAAAGTACGGTACAATTGTATTACACATTCTGTCTGACCTTAAGGCGTGACTAAGAAAAAATGTCCGTCTGTTTTTCTCGTTTTCATTTTTATTCTTTGTTTATATTTTAATTTCAATGTCAATATTTGAAAGTGATAATAATTTGGGGAATGGAGCGTAACAATATAAAAATTATAACTGTATATGCATGTACATACATACATATGTGAATCATAAATTGTTTTTTTTTTTTTTGTTTTTTTTAATGAGAAACATGTTTTACTGTGCTAATAATCAACATTTTTTTAAATACCTAATCAATATATTTAAATTTTAAGTTCTCAAAATAAAATGAAAAATACTGTGTGTATTTCAGCTTAATGAATTGAAAGGCTCTTCATAAAAACCATCAGCCACTCGGTATAAACTATGGGTCCCTAGTTAAAAAAACATCAAAATGCAAAACCACAAATTATATATTATATATTTATATATCATGAAGATGAAAAATGTTCTTGATACTAAAAAGGAAACATACAAGAAAAGATTTTACTCCAATCCAATGGATCTAAATGACGAGAAATGAAATAAACATATGTACATACGTATGTATGACCTTCTTTGTTGTTGGCGCGGTACGTTGCGCCTCATTTATTATACAAGTAAAGCTAATAAACTGCGTCCAGATCTTATTCTTCTTTACTGCCATAGAGCGCGCTTACGCGATGAACGATAGTTAACAACAGCGCCCCAATCATGCCTTCTTAGGCGCCAATTGCGAATACCAACTACAGATCTTTCCAGCTGAGTGTGGGTCTTCCTCTGCTGCGGTATTCGCCGTTATCAACACGCAGCAGACCATGAGTCTGACGCAAGAACTTTCTCTCAAAAACTCCCAACGCTCATCAGATCTTGTCATCGGTCATGCCTCCTCAACATATAGCGAAACGTGATTGATAAATAACTCCTAGACTTTGGAATATACTCGTCGAGAGAGGGCTTTACTTTTCAATTACCTACTCAGTACAAAGTTACACCTATTTGGTGTGCTCTGTGGATGCATGAGTAGGAAGCTGTAACTAAATGTCCAGAAACTTAACTAAACCGCATTAACCTCAACTCCTACATCGAAACCGTCGAGAGATTGATGATAGATGATACGGCAAATAGATGGTTAGTGTTGAGTGGGAACTTGAAGCTCATTTGGTCTTTCACAGTTGTTTAATAATTGCTTTATCAATCTCATCACTGCTCCTCAAGGCTTTTGCCAAATCTTAGTGGGCATATGAAATAAAATGTCAAGTTCGTATGTTTACGGTGGCCGCGGTAGCCGAGTGTTAGCATTGCGTACTAACATTCGGAAAGCTCGGGTTCATATCCCGGCGCCACCAACATCCAAAAATTATGGAAAATTTATTTATAAAAAGAAAAAGTTAAATTAAATTTTCTAATTACGGTCGCCCCTCGGCAGTGAATGTCCACCACTCCGAGTGTATTTCGGACATAAAATGAAGCTCGTCATAAAAAAAACTATCAGCCGTTTGGAGGCGGCTTAGTATAAACTGTAGCTCCCTCCGTTTGTTGGAAAAACATCAAGACGCAAAATCACTAATTGCAGCCGGAGCTCGGCCGAAAAATCGCTTCAGCGGTTACAAAGCGCCAATTATATATTATATAATATATACTTGCTATTTGTAGAAAATATTTTATTGTACTTAGGTTTTTAAGTACAGTTTTCATAAAATTGGCAAATCATGTTCGTAAGCAAAATGAAGTTGAAATGGAGTTTTTAGAATGCAGAACAGGCCTAAATGGTAATATTTTAATATTTGGTGAGAACCGAAGAATATCTATAACAGGGGGTCTTAGTTCAAAAATTCCACTCCACCCACACATCCACTCACACTCAGTTGAGATTTCTTTTAGGACAACTAAGAGATATTTAAAATTACTCAAAGAACTTCAGAAAAACCATTTTATGGTAGAAGAGTACTAACCAAGGTTTATAGAATAGCAAATTCAGACATCAAAGGTTGTCAACGAATCAACTTCGTTGTATTTACAGTATATATAAAATATAGTAGTATATAGTATATAAGAAAAACAAAAGTCTTTATTGCATAAAAAAATATATATGTGAACCTAACAAAGTAATACGGGGAGAATTTTCCAAAATGTCAACTAAAAACATAAATTATACAGACTTTTAATATATTTACTTCCTTTTTATACAATATTATATATTTGACTTTTAACCCAATATTAATAGCAAAGTTTTTAAACCAATAAACAAATAATTTATTTTATTATATAAAATAGTATTGTTTATGCAGATGACTCATTATACTAAAATTTCACAGCTTTGTTTTAATTTTTTACAAAAATTTAATATGAATCACAATCATTCAAACAAATTTCTCTTCAAATTTTTGTTCATAAAAACCCACTATACACGTTTTCCCGCTTCGAATTTTTGAACAAAATTTTTCTCAAAGTACAGATCAGTCATTTTTCAAATACCCTGTTGTATCTGATAAGGAAAATATTTGTTTTAAATTTTGTAAAGAATGCACGTTCGATTAGAATGTTGATAATTCCAAACTTTTTCTGACTTTATTTACACATGTCGTTCGTAATACATGAAATCAAAGCTATTAAAATATTTGTTCAAAAATAATAAATAATTTTCAAATTTATTAAATATTTTGGAAGGTTTAAATTCATGCACTCTTAACACATAAAGCTTTTCAGGACGCATGTAATTTGAATGCTATCGATTTTAGAGAAGTACAACGCAAGTCGTTAGTATTTTATAGCAAAAATGTTACGGCGTTTTCAGATCGAATAAAGCTGACTTATTTTATGATTTTGGCTACACACAAAATTGAACCAAATATACAAACTTTCGATTGGCGTAACCTTTTTCTCTATAAATCTTAAACTCTAACGTACTCCAGAAAATTAAAAAAAAAATTTATTATTTCCTAAATTTCAGAAAAATTTTAAAGCATTGCGCAAAAACTCAAATATATTTCAGAAATACAGAGATATACATACATACATAGTTATTATTTATTTCAAAAACCCCTATTCTATTTATTACATACTACATTTTACTTATGTACAAATGTTTTCCTCAGAAAAATTAAAATTAATTTCAGATATTCTATAAAAAAAACTCAAGTGCCCTCCAGTAAATAATAGTATTCCCGCAATTGCAATTATATGTCATTTTATCTTACCTATCACGTATATTCTCCAAATAATCAGCGATATAATCAACCATCGATTTGGCAAATTCTCTAAACTCTGGCGCTTCCATGTCGATCTAAAGATTAGTAAATAGAAATATGTTTAAATAGTAAAATTTGCAAAATTCAAAGGAAGCTTGTTTTCTAACATAAACTTAAACTTTTTTCATGAAAAGTCAAAAACACTATGCCACCTTCTACATATACGCATTAAAAAATAAACACAGCTAAAGTAAAGCACACAATGAAACAAAGTTATTATTACCACTTACCGACACATTTGGATTTAGTTTATCCAAATCAATATCAGAAATACTCTTCACCAAATTTTGATTTTCCAAATTGTTATTCATGTTAAGCGAAATTACTTGTTAAAGAAAATACTTTTTTTTTCATTTTAGAGAGAGAGAGAGAGATATATATTTTATTAATTAAAACAAGCGAGAATGAAATGCATGTGAAGATGTGTGTTAAAGTATTCAAGATGCATGCTGTATATACATATGTATATAAGTAATACTAATTAAATTTATAAGTGCTTTTATAATTGTGAATTACTTTTACTTTAAAATCAAATGTATTCCAAGCCTACAAACTGTTGAGCGCTACAAAGTATACGATTTTTTATCGAAAAAAAAACAATTATAATTTCATTAACTTAATTAATTATTTTTTATATTATATTTTTAATTGTTTTTAAATCATTACACAATACAAAATCAGCGTACAAACGTAAATATGTACTTAATAATGTTTAATATATTTCAATAAAAGTTAAATAGGTCACAGGTAATAATAGCACACCAAATTTAGTTGATTACAAATGGCAAATGTATTAAAGCAGGATCTTTTTAAATATAAAATTTCAACAATTTCCTTAAATTTTTTAAATTCCGGACCTTCGAAGCGAAATTCTCAAATGCGAGATGGCATTTTTAGTGTATTATTGAAATTTAGTAAAAAATACTAACACGTTATGTTAATATATGTACACGTATATACTTACATACATACGTATATATATATGTACTCGTATATATTATATAATACATCATATTTGTAAGATTTAGACTGTGTTTAATAAGCAGTTTTGATTTAATTAATTTCATACTTAAACTGACCAGTATAAAACCAACACTGATTCACTTTTTTATCAACATTTTCACAGTAATCTTTTGCAGGTTTTACCAGATTTTATCGTTCACAAACAAACTTGGTACATTGAGAGCTTTTCAAACTTCATAAAATTCTGGGGAATAACCGTTGAAGTGGTTTTCGCTGGAGCTCATCATACAATTTGTAGTATGCGACTTGATATTTTTTTCAACAAATCTAGGGACCTACAGTTTATTCTAAGCCGTCTCCGAACGCTCGATGGATTTTCATGAAGAACGTTTTATTTCACTAACAGAAATTAAACTATTTTACTAATTAACTATAGATTTTTCTGCAATATTTCTTCCAACGATTTTTTATTTTGCATATAAAGTAAACTTTTCGTGAAGTAATAATAATCGATTGCAATATGAATATCTCAAAAAAACCAATCAATTTCAAAATATACTTTATATGTTTGTATGATTTTTTTTTACACTGGTGACTTTTGCTTTTCGAAACTCATTTGGCAGTGGTTCAATGCATATCTTTTGGACACATTTCTGCTATGTGCATAAACATATTTATGTTTGCTTATTATTATTAAATATTTTTGTTGGTTTATTAATGCATAAGCTATGCTTAAAAGCTTATACAGTGTTAATGTTAACCTTGTAAATTGAGTTTGAATTGAAGGGTATGCAATTAGCTTTACAAGAATATGAATTAATGGAATATTCAAGCATATGTGCATATATATCCAAATTTGAACTAGATATTTCTACGTGTGATATTTATATAGTCACATACATATGTATATATATATATATTGTATATAAGTATTTGTGCTAGTTAAAAATTCTCTTATTCTTATTAACTACATGAATTCGTTAATCATACAGCAAAGTTAATTGCGTTAATGCATTTAATACAAATAACAGCTCTTTCAATATCTAGTACATAGTTATTATATGAGAAAAGTTTTATCTGCATAAGATAACTTTATTTGCACAAACTCATGAGTTACACTCTTATAAACGCAGCTATGAATGCAATAAAATTTTGGACATTTAAACTGCATTTGCGAATTTGAATGGGGATTATCGCTGGCCAAAACGCTGGTCGTTTAGTTGGCTAAGTACATATACTTTCTATTCTGTAGAGGTAACAAAATTTACTTAGGTATTAAAATTTATCATTCAGTAAATTTTTGTTACCATTTCGTATTCTGAGCTCACTGTCACCCTGTAAATTTTGTTACCAGCGAAATAGGTGGTAACAAAAATATCTGTTGTTTGATTTTGTGTTGTAAGTTTGAGAAAAAATTAAAAACCAAAATGGGTAGGCATATTTTAGGCCTGGAATTCTCGGAAGATGAAGAAAAAAGGGCAAAAAGCGGTATTTTAAGAAGTTTTCGAGACTAAAAAATAGCCCTCTAATTTGTAAGATAACGTTTTCATTCAGCTTTTTTTTTGTTGTACAGGCATATTCTCCATAATTAGGTCCAAATATTTATGATTTAATAAACAAATTAATAAAACTTTTTAATTTTTTTGTGCACTGTCTTCCATTTCGATGTGAATATTTTTCTTTTTACTTTATCAACTGGCAAATGTAATCGTGTATGACATGGACGAAAAAAACAGTGCTGCCAAATTTTTTTCAAACATTGTAACCAGTTCGCCAGAATACCAAATTCAATTTCGGGTGTTAAAGAAAAGTAACAAAATTTACTTTACCGTTAACAGTGAGAATAGGCCTGTATATAAGAAACAATTTCAATCATTTCCAGAGTTGCCGTTCGCTTATATCAGTAAATGTAATCCCAGCTTGAAATGTGATATTAAGACTAATGCAATGAATGTTTTTGTGATATTTTTTTAGTATTTTTAGAAGAAGAAAGTTTTCTATTAAATGAGTAATTCTTTTTTTTTGTTAATAAAATAGCTGCTAAATCTAATTCCATTTTGAGCTAAATTTTTTTTTATCTAATAAGCAGATAACTAAATGCGCATAAGTGGCACTTAATGCAACTAGGCTACGCTGTTTCCCCTAGAAGTAGAGGAATTCAAGACATTCTTAGAAAGTATAAATTTGTAAAACAAATTTTGTAATTTTGTTTGAATTTTGCACATTTATATATACATAGTTCCGAATTTATGTATGCATGTACATACATAATTAACATTATAATCCATACATATTTCATTATTATTTTTCAGTTGTACTATTTGATATATGTATGTATGTATTCTATTCAGAAAACAAGTTTTATTATTTTAATATATTTAAAAGCACTTATATGGATATATACTCTCTATTTGCGAATAGAGTACAAAGGATTTTTGTATTATTTATAAATTTTATCTAATTTTCCACTCACCCCTATATATATATATATATATAGTCTTGTACAGATTTATACGCAATTTGTAATTAAAACTAAATAGTATTAATTATGTTGCACCGTAAAGCAATTGTCGTAAATTTAGTTGTTGTTGTTGTATACAAATATAAACTAATTTCATAGAACAAAACGAGATTGTGCTCGCGACAAAGCTGTTAAAGCTATTAAGTTAACTAAAGCACGAGCGTTTATCAACTGAGAAGACTTCAATGATTGAAGCTAAATTTAAAGCAAAAAGCCCCACAGGACCGGTTCAGCCACAACAGCGAGCAACGACAATGCGCAGGTGCCTTGCAGACAGTGTGTGTGTGTGTGTGTGTGTGTACGTATGTATGTATGCATGTATAATGTAAGTACTTAGTGAGTAAGTTTAATATTGTAACAACAAGTGGTTGTGGGATAAAGAACGTTGCTTATATGAAAAGTTAACAGAATGAGTGGATGAGTGAATTTGTAAGAAGTGGGGCTCACAAAGACTGGCAGAAAAAAAGGAAAAACCCAACACTCATTAATAGAAGTTTACATACTTTGATAAAAGCTCTTCCAGCACTATATACTTTTTCGCACATAAATCTATACACAATAGCCTATTTCTCTAAATGTAATTCGTAGTGTTGTTTACTCAACGTTAGATGCTCTTAGTCGTTATCAGAAGCCTAACTGAAATAATTGTGAAAAACGTTATCAGTCGATATGTACACGTATATATGTACATATTTATTTAGTAACTACATATATAACAATTGTTACATTTAAATATGTACATGCAATATAGTATGTGTCTCTCTCTTTATGTGCGAGTATATATGTAAGTGCAAAATACTCTCAATTACATATTATAGAAGCATACATATACACATTCATATATATGTACATCACATGCAGGCATCCTTTGTCTACTAATCATATCAGCACAATCTTTTACTATATACAAACATACATGCATATCTGCATTTTCAATGATCCTACATTGTACTGTGATTTATGGCAGAGAGCTTCGGAAGTGGCTCTTTTCATTTTAAGTGTCAGCCACTAATGTTGCGGAAACTACTCTACAGTAAATGCGATGAGGACGGAATGATTTAGAAACGCCTTTGCGTTCATACCAATTGAGGTATCAGGCAGGGTTGCTCCCTATCGTTTGACTTCCTAACTCTACAGAACAGAATAGAAGACGTATAGTCTCTTAAAAAAGCATAAACCGCTGGTATATGTTGATAATAATTGTCCTAAACAACCGCTAGTTTTCGTTTTCGGTCAAGCTCCTCCTCCAATTTGCTGTTTCAGTTAATGAAGAAAAAGCGACAATGCTGGCTAGGTCAGGTCATGTCATCGTAATGTTCTGAAAGATACGAAAAGGTTATCACAAAAGTGCAGATTTACACACTCAAACTTCGTTTCAACTTTAAGCGGCTTGCCTATAATGCCATGGATGTGAGTTATTGAGTCGCTTTAGCGTGATGGGAAGCACAGGGTGACAGTACCAGGTCATAGATTTAAGACCTAATCGGATCATCTTCTCTCTAAACGCAGTCGTTAGTGTCCTTAAGCTAGTATTCAGTAGCCACTGTTGATGAGTAGGCAGCTTTCAACAAACACTCTGTGTTTACTTCTGACGTCAAATCAATATCTCGGCATAAAAATGCATCAACCCTTCAGAAGCGACTGAGAACTTTATGTTATTTAATAATGCCAATTACTGTGTGATAAGTCTCCTAAATATTCCATCGAGCGTATTTTGTGAAAGCCTAAAGCCCGCCGTAATCAAACTGACTGGACATTAGAGTGGGCTTAAACCTGGTAAATCAAAAATCACAAATCTTGGCAAAGAGAGGTGGAAAGCGAATCGATACACCCCACCACTTTTTGGTGGAGCTGTCTCTACGCCGCTATGTCTAAATTCGGTATCTCCGCTAACGTTATTCGACTATGTCAACTGATGTTAGTCAACACCGAATGCTCCATTAAAATCGGGAAGAACGTCTCTAAGCCGTTAAAAACCAAACTAAGTTCCAAGCAAGATGATTCCTCATCAATTGACTTCCTTTTTTCTAAAGATATTTTTATAATAGAGAAGGTACAGTTTTCAGCTGCTGGCAGGAAGCAAAGGGTATGAGTCTGGTATGAACGAGAGCAAGACGAAATATCTCTTATCATCAAATCAAATGAAAATAAAAGTCATCGTATTAGCGACTCGGCCCCCAAGTCACTGTTAAAAGTCACTACTTTAGACTGATTTAGTAATTTAAAAGTAAAGTGATCTATCGACGAACTCAGTCCAAACTCTATAAGTCGCTCATCATTCCCATTTCCGCTATATGATGAGGAGGCATGAACGATGGCAAGATCTGATGAATCGGCATTAGGAGTTCTTGGGAGCAAAGTTCTGTGCAAGATGAGCGGTGGCATTGCCTTAGTTCAGAGTATCAGGACTCGGGGTCGCGAAATATATTAAGGATAAAAGATTCATTGTTAAATACATATATATACAATGTATACCCGCATCTTAGTTATAGATCAACTCCAGTCTGCATGTATACGTACATAAATACAACTGTTGGCGTATATATGTATAATACCAATTTGGATACAGGAAGTAAAAGTATGAAAATTATTTATTATTTTTTCTATTTTTTTTCCATCTCAAAACTAAAATAAAAATCATCAAAACATTTTAACTTCATTCAACCATTCAATAATTATTATCGAAAAGTAATTTCTGTCAGAAGCATAATTGTGCAAAACTAAAATGCTTATGATACACAAGATTAGAGAATGGGGGCTCGTCTTCTCATCATATATACATACATACATATGTAATTTAACGTCAAAATCATTAAAGTCAGTATACAGCACCTTGTAAATTTATCTCAATGAATATCGACATTTTTATAATATATCTATGTATATGTACATATGTACGTATAATAACATTCACTTTTATTTATTTGCTACAACTCAGTTCAGAAGTCAATAAAAGCATATGTACATAATTTTATATATATATGTACATATGCATGTATTTACATACATATATACAGATGTATTGCTGGTGTATGTCCATGAACACATAAATACTCTTATGTACAAAGTGCTGTGTTCGCATTGCAAATAATTTTCAGCTACTTTTACCAATTTCATTTCGAGAAGAACTTTCAAAAACTGCTTGCCATTACCATTCTGAAAATAATGGATTTTATACTTATAAAATTAAATAAATATAACAAATAATTATAACTAAAAATGTATTCCGTCCGTTTAAAGTACCAAAATGAAAATACTTAAGATGAAATAAATTCTGGAAATCCCTAAAGTTTCACACGCTAGCAACACAATCAGCTGACAGGGAAATTCTAAGCTTCTATGTTCGTATAAAAGTTACTTCTATATTAAGTATTCTTGTAGACGAACACGTATATATTTTACAAACCTCTTTTTTTTTAAATATATTCATGTGTATATGTTAACGAAGGTTAGATACATTCTCTTAAACAAACTTTCAATTAAATAAATACATTTTTAAACTCGTATCAATTCAGTTGAATTGCTCAATGAATCATATCTAAAAGCTTAATTTCGACCAGTTTTCTTTACTTTTTGGCAAACAGTAGCTGGTAATTACTGAATGTGTAAAATCTAGCAAATTATTTATTGAGTCTGAGTGAACTTTTGTTTTTGTATATACATACAAGCAATTTTTTTTTATTATGTTTTATGTAGCAAAAGTTTATACTTCTATGTGAACAAATGTGTATACGACATATACATACAAAGATTATATTTATAATTAATGCTCTGAAACCGTTGAAGCTAATGTTTTTATAACAAATAGAGGAACCGACAGTTTATTCTAAGCCACCTCTGAACGGCAGAAATACACTCGTTTGAAGTGCCCTGCCGAGGGACGAACAAGCAGATTCATAGATGTCACGCTGCTCTGATGGCACTTTACTCGTACGTAACTACCATATTTTACTCTTTTGCTGCCAAAAGCCTATCCTCTTGAGAAGAGGTTAACCCACGTCTCTTTATCAGCTTTTGCTATGTCGGGTATGACCGAGGTGTGCCGACCAACATGACGACCACCGCTAGTTTAGGGCGCACACCTTCGAAGAAACTGCACTGTTTTTAACTCGACTATAATCATTCAAGTGGTGTCTATGCCAGTAAAGAAGAAGAAGAAATCGGATAAATCGGATGAGAGACAACACCTTTAATCGCGACCACTGCCAATATCGCAGCCGTCAAAGAAACAATGGACGGCACTTGAGCGAAAAAAGTGGTAGCTGGAGAAGGCTGAGCTATGGTGCGGTTGAAAATGTCGATAATATTACAATAATATCAGCGGCATGTGTTAGCCTATATTAGCTATTGAAGAATACAAAATTCTCTAATTAGCAGTTGGAATTATTTTCTGCAGCAATAAATTAAAGAAAACACTTTGTCTATAACCCTGTTTAACACTGCGCGACGCAGAGAGATCTTTCCGATTTTAAAAGAGCTTTTGGTGTTGTTCAGCTTCAGCTTACCAAGCTGCCAAATTTTTTCGGAACAGCATTTTGGATAAGCAATATTTTGAATACTCAAAAATAGTTATATTTTCACTTTAACTGAGATAATTATCGAATTAAAATTCGGTCATATTAAATCTTCTTGCATATATATATAAATTTTTAAAGTCAATTTCATTTAGTTCTTCCTTTTTTTAAAGTGCCCACAATGTGACGTCAACTCGTTGATTACAAGCACATAATAATGTGAAACATCCAACAGCTAGCATCGAATCTGTACTTCACCCACTTCCAACAGCTTTTATTAGCTTTGTTAGCGGCAGTGATTTTTTCATCTGCACGCATTCATTCATAAATACATATTTATGAGTGTATACATATTTGAACGTAAGGGTGCTTCAATAACAGAACTAAAAAGCATGCATAAAGCATATTCGCGTTTGATTCACATTTGCGTGAGTACATTTACATTTAAAGTGTCTCATATGAGTCAGGTTAATATTAGAATATGGTACACTGATATAGAATTTTAATTATCAAGTTCATTCCGAGATGTTCAAAAACAATGTCTATTTCGATGGAACTTTACTAAAAATCTTCCTGCCTATTCCAACCGTTTAAAGAAAGCCGTAGAGAAAGTTTTAGTTATGTTAAGTATATTCTGTTGTTGTTGTTGTTGTTGTTGTTG